TGTTGTAAACAAATCAGTCTTCTTGATAAAGTTAATTGTGTGCAGATCTGCTAGCAGAATTAAAGTAGAGGAAAAAATTGTTTTCTTTTTCCCCCTGTATATCCGGCGAGTACTAAATTACTTTTACATGTCCGAATAATAATGTTAAAACTACAGTAATTTATCATAAATTTGCTAAAAACTTCAAATAAATCAGCCTCCGCATTTGAAAGTTAGAGCATTTTTAAATAAATCATTATTTTGAATGGATCGAATTTTAAATCGGTGAGTGTAGTCTATGCGCAAAAATAATAAAGACCGCTGGATTTATGTTTTGGGTACTTCTCAGGTAATGTTAGGTTAGGTTTGCAAACTGGTCGTGTTAATGCACTTGAAACTGGAGAATCAACCATATAAGGTCGATAGATACTTAAAGTAGTTCCAACGAACATGTAAAAGATATTAGCAGGAGGCCGGCGATGACTTGCTCAGGTGGTGATTTTAGTGGGTAAAGGGTAAAACTATTGGGAAAGGGAGAACCTGTACCGAATCTCTATAAGGGATTTCCACATATCAAAAAAATATCAAGAAGTTACTTCATCGAAAACTATTTTTTGGGCCAGTGTATCTAAAAACATACACAATCGAAAACTAAAAAGAAAATAATTTAAAAATGGAATGAATTATTTTATCACATACAAAACAACAATAGAAATCACATTGGAATAAAAAACAATAAGAAATCGTAGAATTTGAGGGTCGGCTTTGGCGCTGAACGTGTTAAATGTTTAGGATGTAATAAGATACTTAATTTAAAAATGTATCTATATACTTGCTGGATGTTATAAGAATGGCAGTTTTTCTGTAGAAATGGTATACTGTGACGTAACAACTGGATGTCACAAGATGCAAGGTTTTTCTGGATGTCACAAAGTGTTGTTAATAAAAATATATACCGTGTATACTTTGGATCTCACAACGATAGGACGTTTTATTTTTTTAAAATGTGTATGGTTGTGATATTTTTCGCTCAGCCATAATATTTTTTTAATTAAAAGAAGTCATATTTTTATTTTTTTCCTAAAGTCTTTGCAAAGGGTGGATGTCACAAAGTCAAAATTTTTGCTGGATGTCACATGATACGCTGGTCGAGTATATATATATATATATATATATATATATATATATATATATATATATATATATATATATATATATATATATATATATATATATCTTGAACTTGGCTGCACCGTACTGATGAAGACCAATAGTCAGAAACACGTGTCTACGGTTTGCCCTTCAGCCTTTTTTTCTCTCTTTTTTGCGGTATTTCCCAATAACCCTTTTTTCTCTTAATTCTTCACCGCACTAAACCTTTTCATATATATAATATTTAAGCAAATCAATCAAAACTAAAAGTTATTCAGTATGGAAATAAAAGCAGTCTTTGTTCAAGCAAAGATGAAAAACAAATTTTTCACAATTTACAAAAGATTTTTGCACCTTTGCCGATTATCACACCATACTGGAAGATGGCCATATTGATCTCTTCGAACCTCTTGGATGGGAAAATCTTGTATCGTGCCCCTTTTTTTCTTGTTTTGCAAGTTATCCATGATTCCACTGGGACGGCCTCTTTTCTTTATTGAGCTGGATTTATTTAATTTACATAAATAAATAAAACATACAAACTCATATTTAAACTCTTTTTTATTTTTCATACTTTAAATGTGATGCAATAATTAGCAAATTATATTACAATTGTTACTATTTACTGGGATCTCACTTGAGTCCCGTTCAAACGCAGACCATATTCATTTGCTATCAATATATATTTTACTTAGGTTGATGACCAACGGAGTTAACGAACAGCGAGTTATTGGCGATTCAAATTAATTTTCGCGCGCTTGTTATTTGTCATCTATAAGTAGGATGTTTGTTTATTTACATGTTTTTGTTTTGGGCGGATTTTGTATTTGTGATTTTTTTAACTGTTTTTAGATAATATTCTCATTGTAATAGTGTTTTTGAGTTTCATTTAGTGTTAATTTAAGTTTAAGTCTCGTGCTTTCGTCATAAATATAATATTTATCATGTGTATGACTTAATTTGTTGAAAATATTTACCTATTGGTTGCTACAAGAACATCTAGAAATATGTATTCACTAAACCCAGGACATGTTGTATTATGTGGTTTAAAGGACATTTCAGGTACTACACGTTTATTATTGATGAACTTATTTAAAAATCTTATTCTTATATTATGAAGTGAATCATGTAGTACTTTGTATACATGTAAATGGTAATAAAACCGTCAAAAAATAAGATTTCAGTTTGATTCTAAACAAAGTTTCGTAAAATTTCAATATTGTGAATTTGTAGACATCCATTTATCGTAAAAAACAAAATTTTACGACTTTTACTTGGAAAATAATGAATCTTCAGTTTTGATTTTGACATTAACACCATATAGATTGCAATTTTCTGGGGACTTCTTCACAGATTTCATTTTTAATATAAACACTATCACATGCTATAAGAAAAAAACAAATTTAAAGCTAAAAAGTAAGAAAAAACTCTAATTGTAATTGATACAAATTAAAATGTAAACAATGAACATGAACGCCAATGTTGCCAAATGATGAACTGATTTTAAAACAAAATTAATAAATGAACTGAAATTTAAAAAAAATCAATATAATAAATCGGTTTTATAAAAAAATCCTTAAATAAATAGAGTATGATAACATACACAAATTTTGATTCTTAAATAAAAGGTTTTATCCACTTCTTACAGAGCTAAAATCCGACGACGTAGCGAAGTTTTGCTACTTCTGGCAACACTGAACGATATCCTACTTATTCGGACCTTCTACAAATTTCCTCCAGAGGGCGTATCACTTAGCTTGAATCGCGAATATAAGAAGAAACGTCGAGTCTATAAAAATATAAAACCGTTAACGGCGCAAACGTTAACTTTGCATTTATTATTATCATTAAAATTATATTATTAAAAAATTCATTCCAGCTTAGATTATTGTAGAAAAGTAAATTTTTGTTTTTTTAAAAAATTATTTTCGAGTTAAATAAATTTAACTGGCGCAGTCGTAGTAGGATCGACACAGTAATTTCGCGAAAGGCCACGGCATCGGGTCCGATTTTCCGAAATTTACGTGAGTTTCAACTCTTTGGTGTCGAGAACTTTCCTGTGGGAATCTACCCTGGAGACGGAGGCCTGCTGAGCTGGAATCATCAGAAGAAGTTCAAGTAAGTACTGAGTACTCCTTTTATACTTCCTCTCATTTTACACTTAGTTTTTGCGAATTTTAGAATAGGTTAAGTGAATAAATAATTTTTTTTTGATCGAAAGAAAATAAAAAAAATATATACTTAGATATAGATTTTTGTATGAACAATATAGATAATTTAATCAAGCAAACGTAAATCAAATAAATGCAAATCAAGTAAATGTTGATATGTTAAAATTACATGTCGATACCATTCCCATGTTTGATGGGGATGAAAATAATTTAGCAAAATTTTTAAATAGTTGTGACTTCGTAGTAAACACATATGCAAATGTAAATGATCCGGCAATTCAAAGTTATATTCTTCAGGTAATAAAATCGAGATTTGTAGATAGAGCAAATTTATTGGTCGGTTCGCGAAATGAATTAAATACTTGTAATTCTATTAGAGAATCATTACAACAATGCTTTGGAGATAGACGATCTTTAGAATGTCTTGAACAGGATTTGTTAACAGCACATCCACAAAGAAACGAACAACCAATAGATTTCGCCCGAAGGTTACAAATTTTGAGAAGTCACTTGATCGGTAGAATTAATAACTTTACAGATGCTGAAATTCCTTTTACATACTAAAGAGTCATACAGAAGGCAATATAATCAAATGGCGTTGAGAACCTTGTTAAGAAATCTCTCTGGTAACTTACAAACTATCATTAGACTTAAAAATCCAATCAATATAGAACAAGCAATAACTTATATAATTGAAGAAGAAAATTTCGCATATTCACAGAATAACTTAAAACAGATTGAAACCCCTCAATACAGATCAAATTCCAATCGATTTAATGATCGTCAAAATTTTAATAATAATCGCCAAAATTCTAATAACAATCGCCAACATTTTAGTAATAACCAGTATAGAAGCTTCCCTCAAATATTCCAAAATACTAGAAACCAGCCCGACAATGCTTATCAAAGAAATTTTGCCCCCATACAACTTCCCGTAACTTCAATAACTCATTCCCCAGCCAACCAATTCCTGTACAACCACGTACGATTAATAGATATTATCCAACAAATAGACAGGTATTGGGGCCACCGAAAAATGCATTCGCCCCAACGGGCCAAATACCCCCAAACAGTCCAGTACCAATGTCGACTACTACTCGAAATACCTTCAGACCCAGACAAAATTTCCAAAATTATCAACGACCCATGTCGACAACCACCCAAAATACTTTTAGACCCAGACAAAACTATCAACAAAATTTTGCAACACAACAACTATTTCAAACAGATAACATAGATTTTGAAAATCCATTTGAGGAAACTCCTATCGATCAAATCGAATACGAATTTGAAAGTTAGGTATTTTAGGACGTTATCAGGACCTAGACTCACTTATTTAATAGGCAACGACCATACCACACTGAACACACCGGTTCTCGTCCAGTTTTAGTTTGAACCGTCGAGCAAGCTACACATATTATCGAAATAGTGCATTCGCATGTGGTGAAATTTGATACTTTCGTAGTTTCATGGTTTATCGGTGCGTGTCCGCCCTTACAAGCGAAACAGACCCTCTCGGCAAATGTGTTATGTTAAAATAAACACCTGTTAGTGAGTTTTAAAAATTTATATTTTACTAGATAAATAAAAGTGAATAGATAGTGTATAAACTGTATGCCACATCGTTATGGAAAAATTCCTGTTAAATAAAGTGAATTTACGCGGCGGGTTACAAAAATTCAGATAGGAGAAAATAAAATGCGAAGGAGACAACGACATGTTATACCGCTCAAAAATTTGGAACGCATTAAACATAAAAATGCGCTAAGAAAACAATTTCAACTGGAAAAAGAACAGACAATAGAACAAAATCAAACTTCTACAGATAAACAACAGCAACCGGAACATATGGAACTGCCTGCATTCTCAGAATCTTCTGATACGGATGATGAGCAAGAAAATAGTCTTCCTAAATTAACTGAAGCAACAATTCATGTGCAACCAACAAAACATAAAAGGACCCACTCCGACAGATCCACGTCAATGGAGACCGATGGTTTTAAATTGGCCAAGAAAACCAGACCTCTTGATTTCATGAAAAATTGCATTAAATCACAAACAGTTAAAACTTCAAACAAATTCCAACCCCTTTATGGAGAAGACATACAAGTGATAGAAGAAAGTAATGATCAATCCCAAAATCGCTCACAACAATCACAAATCTCAAATCAACAACAAGAACAACAACATAAACAACAACAGAAACAGAAAGAACAAGCAAGTAATAAAGAGGGAAATCTTAATAAAGGCAAACCACCTCCTATTGTACTAAGCGGTATTCTGGGGGATATAAAAAATGTCAAAAAACACCTAGACGAAGTTATCAAAGAAGGCTATTATATAAAATACACCAAAAATAATACCCTAATCTTTATAAATAGCATATCAGAATTCAAAAAATTCTCAAATGAATTAAAAGAAATTGAAATTGAGTGGCATACATATACGTTGTCGGAAGATAAGCAGCATGCCTTCGTGCTAAGAGGTCTGGATTGCAATCCTGAGCCAGAAGAAATAAAAGAAGAACTCCAGGAAATACATCAAATGACAATTTACCAAGTATATAAAATGAACACAAAAGGGAGACCCTTATATTTAATAACAACAGACAATAAAACAACCTTAAACTTTCTAAATTCAAACATAAAACATATCCTGAACACCAAAATAACTTGGGAAAGAAGACATAATGAGAGAAAACTTATCCAATGTCGTCGCTGCCAAAGATGGGGTCACGCAACTTCGAACTGTCAAAGAAATCCAAAATGTCTGAAATGTGCTGCCGATCACTGGACAAAAGACTGTTTAAAAACTCCTGATACACCTGCTAAATGTGCTAATTGTCTAGAGGCACATCCTTCAAGTTATTCAAAATGCCCCGAATATATCAAAGTATTAGAAGCAATGGAATCGAAAAAGCCAGTATCTCTAAGACCGGCTCCTATTCCTTCAGACAACCCATGGAAAATACGAAACACAGCCACATCAAATTACACAAAATCAGTAGTTCAAGAACCTCCAAGAATGGAAAACGACAACTTCCCACCTTTACCATCGAAACAAAATAAACCACGTGCCAGTAGCGGCTACACAGGTCTGACGGATACAACTTCAGGCATTGCAACATTCACAGATCTTTCTACCGAATTCAAAAAGCTAAGTACACTAGTAAATCTCAATGGACTATTGCATGCTGTCAGAGATTTAAATAATATCATGGCTAAAACCCCTGACGGGCCTGCAAAGTTCATTGCGTTCACAAATTTTATTTCTTCCATTGACCAATATAATATTTAAATTCGCTAATATAAATACTGCATTAATTAACATTAACGGTATAAATAATAAAAAGCCAGAACTTATACATTTTTTGTCTACTCATAATATTGATATTTGTTTTATTACGGAAACTCAATTAAGAACAAGGCATAAATTAAGGATTAAGGGATTCAATATAGAAAGAAAAGATCGCCCAGATAGGGAGGATGGAATATTAACAAAACAGGGAGGTGGAGTTGCGATTATAATCAATACAAATATCCCATATACCCGTATAAATGACAGGGATATCCCCAACATTGAGCATGTAATTATTAAATTAGAAAATAACTTAACATTAATTGCCGCATATATCCAACCTCGGGCAAAAATCAACAATAATGATTTTGATCAACTTTTATCGTTAGGTAATAAAGTGATTATCGCTGGTGATTTTAATTGTAAGCATGAACAATGGGGCTGTAATCAAAATAATAAAAATGGTAATTTTCTTTCAAAATATGTCGATCAAAAAGAAATCACAATACTCTACACAGATTCACCAACGTTCTACCCTTTTGATGGAACGACACCATCGACAATTGACCTTATTCTGAATAAAAACGTAAACGCTCTCTGTGAACCTTGGACCGTAGACGAGTTAAGCTCTGATCATATTCCAGTCATGTTCAAAATTTCAAAAATCTATGTTGAAAACTCAGATAAATACGTAAAAGACTATAAACAGACAAACTGGGATGAGTATAGAAAAATTATAAACACAAAACTGACACCTACATACATTTCAACTGACAAAGACATTCAAGATAAAACTAAAAACCTTACTGATATAATTCTTAGCGCTAGAGACCAAACGACAAAAACAATCAAAATAAAACAAAAAGACAAATTACCAAATCACATAACGGAACTCATAAAAGAAAAACATAAACTTAGGAAAGCTTGGCAGCGAAGCAGGTCTGAAGAACACAGAATTCAATTTAGAGAAATATCAAGGCAATTAAATTCACAGATTATAGAGTACAAATCAAACATTTGGAAAACAAAACTTGAAAAACTAAAACCTGGTTGTAGTGAAACATGGAAAATCGTCAGATCGTTAAAGAAAAAATCAGTAATCATACCTACTTTAAAAATAAACGGACACGAATACACGACCGACCATCAAAAGGGTAAATGTTTTGGTAATTACTATCAAAGCACGTTCGTGACAACACCTGACACAAATAATTATCATAAAGATGTCACTAATAGAGCCCAACTAATTAGAGACACGCCCATTGCTCTCATAAATTCTAGAACCATAGGTAATCTAATAACTACTCCATCAGAAATATGGAATGTGATAAAATATCTTCCTTTAAATAAAGCACCAGGTTTTGATGGGGTAGATACAATTTTACTAAAAAACCTTCCCAAAAAAGGTTTTGTAGAAATCACTAATATAATAAATGGCATTCTCAAATTTCAAATATATCCGACAGCGTACAAAAAAGCTGTCGTCTGCCCTATACTAAAATCTGGTAAAAATAAAACCAAAGTGGATAGCTACCGCCCAATATCTTTACTGAGTATAATTGCTAAAGTAGTAGACAAAGTGCTGTTAAAACGTCTTAATAAATTCACCCAACAACTAAACGTAATACCAAATGAACAATTCGGTTTCAGGCCAGGACATTCTACAGTCTCACAAGTCGTTCGAATAGCTCATGAAGCAAAAGAAAATATCAATAAAAATAAAAATACTGTAGCAGCATTTCTTGATATGAAAAAAGCATTTGACACGGTTTGGACTGACGGCCTCATTGTAAAAATGAGCGATTTCGGCTATCCACTCCACTTTATTAAATTAATTCAATCATATTTGGAAAAAAGAACAATAATAGTTAAAATAAGAAATCACCTATCCGAAGAATATAACATGGCAGCTGGCGTACCACAAGGTTCAGCCCTATCCCCGCTTTTGTACTCAATATTTACAGCAGATATACCAAAATTTGAGAAAACCAACCTAGCTCTTTATGCCGATGACACCTGTATATACGCCCACTCCTTCTCCTCGGAGGTAGCCTGTCGGCAGGTGCAGATTCATATCAATGAAAAGCTTCTACCCTACTATAATAATAATAAGCTCATAATAAACCCCGATAAAACAGAACTCATAAACATCACTAAAAAACATACAAATAATAAAATATTTAAAAAATTGGATGTATGTGGCAACAAAATTGACCCCAAATACGCCGTCAAATATTTAGGAATTACAATCGATCGATCAATATGTTGGAAACCCCATATAGATACCATTTCAAACAAAATCTGTTCTCTGATTAAAACTATGTACCCCCTAATTTGTAAAAATAGCAAAGTTAACTTTGATACAAAAATTCTTATTTATAAGCAAATGTTCAGACCAATTATTACCTATGGATGCCCTGCTTTCTGCTCGGCTTCAAATACACAGGTAGATCGATTACAAAGAATGCAAAATAGGCTATTACGTATTATAACATGCAGGGACCGCTATACTCCTATTAGAGAACTTCATGAATTAACAAACATCCTCCCTATCAGGGACCAAATCTGGGAACTTTCGTCTAAATTCTATAATACTCATCTAAGAGGTAGTACAATAACACGAAATATTATAAACTGTCACCTAGATAATATCCCGCGAAAACACGGTCTTATATATGAAACCCTTATTCCAGACCTATAACAAACGTCCTAAAACGACGCTGCACTTAATCTATAAAATCCAAAATTCTAAAAGAGGTTTTTTGCTACAATTTTTCCTCTAAAACTAATTCTATAAACCATAATAAAACTAATATCAATTAAATAAATCATTTCAAATATTTAAAAGAAATAAAATTTAAAATAATAAACCCATAAGCTAATTTAAGCAGGAGGGGTTCTGTGAATGTTCAGTGAAGAAACAACAGAAATTAGAAGATCCCAAAATAAAAGCCTAAAACCAGGCTGCCACCTAACCAGCCCAGTCGATGGGAATACTGTTAGGAGGAAGTAAAAGTAAAGACTTAAAGTTATATGAAATTCTAATTATGTTGTAATGTTATGTAAATACTGTAAATAAATATTTTTGAATTGAATTGGTTCTCGTCCGATCACCGCAGTTAAGCAGTGTTGGGCGCGGTTAGTACTTGGATGGGTGACCGCTTGGGAACACCGCGTGCCGTTGCCCTTTTTGCGATTTTTTTTAGTTAAACTTATTAAATTCCTACATTTTAGATGTTAGATAATTGAAATCTACCTGTTTTTTTTTTCAAAGTATTAAAATTAAAAAGTTTGAAACAAATTACTTGCAATATCTATAGGTATCTAAAAGCAAAACAAAATCCTCAATACAACCTATTAAATAGTTCCTCACAGATCTTGTTGCATCGGGAATTACTTTAATTTCTAAATATGCCAATATATCCGTTTGGGTGACAATTTTTAATTACTTAGCTTAGATATCTACCTATTTAAGGATGTGTCTACGCTAGGTACCTAGGTACCAACATCGTTTTTCGTCAATCTAAACATGTCCTAGGCCAAAAAGTTCAAATTAGAAATATTGAAAAGTACCTACCTAATTAGTTTTTCAAGAGGGTAGAAAGTAAACAGGGATGAAAATAATTTACTAACTAGGTATTTTAGGACGTTATCAGGACCTAGACTCACTTATTTAATAGGCAACGACCATACCACACTGAACACACCGTATTTTGCTATATACTATTATGTAACTAACAAATCAATAAAGATATTATGTATGTATGGTTCTCGTCCGATCACCGCAGTTAAGCAGTGTTGGGCGCGGTTAGTACTTGGATGGGTGACCGCTTGGGAACACCGCGTGCCGTTGCCCTTTTTGCGATTTTTTTTAGTTAAACTTATTAAATTCCTCCATTTTAGATGTTAGATAATTGAAATCTACCTGTTTTTTTTTCAAAGTATTAAAATTAAAAAGTTTGAAACAAATTACTTGCAACATCTATAGGTATCTAAAAGCAAAACAAAATCCTCAATACAACCTATTAAATAGTTCCTCACAGATCTTGTTGCATCGGGAATTACTTTAATTTCTAAATATGCCAATATATCCGTTTGGGTGACAATTTTTAATTACTTAGCTTAGATATCTACCTATTTAAGGATGTGTCTACGCTAGGTACCTAGGTACCAACATCGTTATTCGTCAATCTAAACATGTCCTAGGCCAAAAAGTTCAAATTAGAAATATTGAAAAGTACCTACGTACCTATCTACCTACCTAATTAGTTTTTCAAGAGGGTAGAAAGTAAACAGGGATGAAAATAATTTAGCAACTAGGTATTTTAGGACGTTATCAGGACCTAGACTCACTTATTTAATAGGCAACGACCATACCACACTGAACACACCGGTTCTCGTCCGATCACCGCAGTTAAGCAGTGTTGGGCGCGGTTAGTACTTGGATGGGTGACCGCTTGGGAACACCGCGTGCCGTTGCCCTTTTTGCGATTTTTTTTAGTTAAACTTATTAAATTCCTCCATTTTAGATGTTAGATAATTGAAATCTACCTGTTTTTTTTTCAAAGTATTAAAATTAAAAAGTTTGAAACAAATTACTTGCAACATCTATAGGTATCTAAAAGCAAAACAAAATCCTCAATACAACCTATTAAATAGTTCCTCACAGATCTTGTTGCATCGGGAATTACTTTAATTTCTAAATATGCCAATATATCCGTTTGGGTGACAATTTTTAATTACTTAGCTTAGATATCTACCTATTTAAGGATGTGTCTACGCTAGGTACCTAGGTACCAACATCGTTTTTCGTCAATCTAAACATGTCCTAGGCCAAAAAGTTCAAATTAGAAATATTGAAAAGTACCTACGTACCTATCTACCTACCTAATTAGTTTTTCAAGAGGGTAGAAAGTAAACAGGGATGAAAATAATTTAGCAACTAGGTATTTTAGGACGTTATCAGGACCTAGACTCACTTATTTAATAGGCAACGACCA